TTTTTTTCCTGCTATAATCTTACTGAATTGTTCGGAAAGAACATAATTATTTCAGAGACGTTATCTTTCAAGTTACTCGAAAGTCGTAGTCGCTTTTGTAGTATTTGAATAGCCCTTATAACAAAAAGTGAATACCATTTTTTTTTTCTAAAGTTTGATCTCAGAATTTCGATCGACTGAAATGAGACAAGTTACGTCTTATTATAAAACGAGGATTGAATTTAGTACTAGTTTTAAACCATTATCCGATCAAAATTAGTCTAAACGTTTCTCGTGTGTTATTGTCAATTTGATTATGGTTAAAATCAAGTACTAAACTGTAAAACAGAAATGAAATGCTGTAGTTAAATATTCCAATTTCCATTTAACATGTCAATAAACGATAAGTATCATCAGTTACAAACATATCTTCTTCCTATATAAGATTAACATTATCTGTTAGATAAAGAACGTCAAGTTTCTTTTGTTTTGGCGTGGTCTCTTTTATTAATCACTAGCTTTCGCCAGCGGCTTCGCCCGCGTGGTTCCTAAGGAAATGTTTAGTGAGATAAAAAATAATTGAAATAATTATGTAGGTATATCCAGAGTAAAGTAAATCTGACCTAACAAACTTCTATTTTTTTTTCATTAACAATTTCATGTTTGCTAGTCAATCACGCTGCAACCACTGAACAGATTTTGATAATAATAATCAAGATTATGATTATCTTATAATATTGATCTATATACGATGTTGTATGATCTATTATTTGCAGCAAGTACATACAGGTTCCTTGCACTTGACACTCGAGAACATGCCACATAGAGCTGGCCATGGGTAAAGCAGGGAATGCCCAAATGTATGCCGGCCACTTTTAGGGTTTGTCCCTGGGACTTATTGATGGTCATAGCAAATGCCAATTTCAATGGGAACTGCAGCCTTTTGAACTGGAATGGCAAATTGTGGGGTATAATGGGTATGCGAGGAATCAACACGCTCTCGCCTTTAGCTGCTCCCGTAAGTATTGTTGCTCGCAGAATGTTTCTTCCCAATTCGCTGATTTGTAATCTTGTGCCGTTGCATAATCGCGGAGCGTCAAGATTACGCATCAACTGGGACGCCAACCTTCAGCTCCAGCTTGTGGGGCGGTACGCAGGTCAATTCTAATGAGTTGAGAAATTCCACGGGATACGCAGTGCTGTCATCGCACATCCAAACAAAGAAACTTTCACATTTATAATATTAATAGGATTACGTATGAGTTTCATGCCCATGATATCTCTTGACAACAACAATAATTTGAAGATTAATGTGTACAGTTTTTTTTCCTGTGATGCTAGTTTTACTTTTTTAAGTAACTTGATGTTAATTTTACTTTTCGTATATTTGCAAATGATAAAGCAGCAGATCATAAATAAACGTATGATAGATAGCTATTCATTCGATACCAAATAAATAATGAATTATCATCATTTCAGCCGAGAGACGCCAGCTGCTGGGCATAGGCCTCCAAAGATCTTCAATGTGATCGGTCCTGCTGAATGAATTATATGAATGTTTATATTAAGAGAATTCATTAATTAAGGTAATTTAAATTCGGCAAAGTGGATCGACAATATCAAAATATTTCTGATATTTTACAGTTAAAGTTATGGTTTAAGTCAAAGTTGACAATATCCGTCACATTGATATAACATTGGCTTTGGAATGCGTTGTATTATCCTCTTTCTTGGCATAGTAAAACAAAACTTTAACCAACGAAACTTAAGCGGTTATAGTTTATCGAGGTAGGTAGGCGGTAGTTAAAGTTATGACGTTATCCAACCATTGCCAAATGATAAGTCATTATTATTTGCTTGTACCGATGTATTTTAACATATTCGTTATTCTTTTACTGTTTTATTCTGTTCGTCATCGTGTTAAATGTGGGAAATTAATATAGTTAAATTATATTATTATATCAATTTTACATTCACAATAATAATTATAAGAATGTTTTCATTTTGAATAGTTAAATTAACTAAGCGAGACATGAGACCCAACATGTTTCAAAGTTTGAGGAAGTTTCGCAAACACACTACGGATTCTTGACAATGGATAAAAGCTAGTTTCTGAGAATTTTTTACAAAGATAAAGTTATTGACACATCAGTCGAGACTAAGACAAGAGACAAAATATGGCATCGTATTGCATTTCCAAACCAGCTAGTTTTCTTGATTTTTGCTAGATTTCCGCCAGCGGCTTCGCTCGCTTAGGAACTGTTTATTTGGATGTAGTTTCACGTCATGACACGAATATAATTACAATGACAAATCGATTACTTTTGGTTAATACGGTAACGTTGTAATTCCCTATAACAACTTCCGCCATTTCCACTATAATTTTTTCGGGATTAAATATGGCCTATGTTCACCGCATAAGACGTAGCTTATCGTAGGTGAAAGAATTTATAAAATTGGTCCAGTAGTTTCGTAGTTTATTCGTTGCAAACAAACAAACAATCAAATCTTTCCTCTTTATAATATTAGTATAGAAAGCGGACCGCGAACTTCATATTTTTGAGACATACAGGCCTAAGAACAGAAAAATATAAACAATACGCTTTTTAGTTTTTGATCAACGTCAAATGTTTCGACACTTATTTGACAGCCCTTTCTTTTAGGTAGAACGGTGCCAGACGAGATCAGATAATGATCTGCATTCACGATTTTAGATCTATCTAACAAAGAAATACAAATATTTCTTGTAGTCAAGGAGAGGGTTACGAGCATTTATTCAATCCGCCTACGACTAACGGTTAGGATTGCCATTTGACCGGCATTGGCGTGGACATGTTTGGCTTTTTTATTTAGGTTGTGACCGGCTAAATATTTACAAGTCAGTACGACCGTTGTAAGGCCTTTGTTAGTGTAACGTAGTGCAAGCAGCGACTGCAAGATGAACGCGACGCAAGTTCCTTTTTTTATTATACAACTTGTCTAAAATTAAAAACGTACGTTTGGCGTTGCAAAAGTGATATTATTTGGTTTTTAATAACCAAGAAGATTCAGCCCGGTTTGGTTATTAAAGAAGGCAAAAGTCCAGTCAAATACAGCGCAGACTAACACTCGTATTAGTCGAGAGAAGTAATTACATAAGAAAATTTCTCTTAACATAAGCAAATATTTTTGATCAAGAGATGCGAGTTTGAACGAATCACGAACTAATAGCTAATAATAATAGTATTCTAACTATTGTGAGTTCTTACTTTATTATATTTGATCAATTTCGCACGTCAATTTTCGATCACAATGCTATACTGAAAAATATTCTTAATGAACAATGCTTAAAAATCCCTGGCTCTCTGAAATGGGACTCGAACCCTTGACCTTTCGCAATCCTGGTTACTGCTCTAACCACTGAACTACCCAAGACCTAAAAGGACTGTCAAATTTTTCAAGCACTTGTTACTTTTTTCGCTACTACAGCAATTGAATGAATGAATAATAATTTTATTTGCATATATCACACACATATGCCAGCAATTATAAAAGTTGAGTGAATACAAAGAGACAAAATATGAAAGAAAAAATAAATAAATGAAATACACAAGTCTGCATGTGTGCCGGCTCAGTAATAGAAGCTCAAATAATAAGTTTGCTTGTAAAGCAAACTACTGATTTTCAGCAGTAATTCAGCTTGATACCTCCACGCGTTCCTGAGAAAAATGGTCTTGACAGACGGAAGGACAACAAAGTGATCCTACAAGGGTTCCGGTTTTTCCTTTCGAGGCACGGAACCCTAAAAAAAAGTTTTTTATTAACTTCAACATACGGTACTTTTTATTAGCTACACATTATTATTCACTAACGGTACTTGACATTGAACTAAAGGAAAACATTATAAGTAAATACTTGTTTTTTTTTAACTAAGGTATTTCATGTAAATAAAAACACGACGAAAGTTACTGTTATTATTTTGAAAACATGTGATATTTATAATAAACAAATATACTTCAGTTAATTTGCCAATGTTTATGTATCGTTATTATGTTTAATCAAATGTAGAAATACGATAGCACGTATGCGTGCGTGAAGTTTACGTGTTGGGTCCGGGTTTAATTGTGAGAATTAAATTGAAGGCATGCGGTTCGTTCAATCTACGTATTGTTCATTTGAACCATGGCTAGTATGGCAATACTAATATTAAACGTAAGTATATGTTTGAATTTCGTATAATTGTATTTTTTTTTTAACTTTCTATAGGTGATGTTAACTTTTGTTCGTTTTTATGTTACCCTAGTCTAAAATACTTTTTTTTAAAGATTTCTTTCTCTATAGAAACTTTTCAAAAGAATTGTGAGTCACTTTTATTACATTATTGATTAGTAGTGAAAGTTAATAAATAATTATTTTAGTTTGCATAACTGGTAAAAGAGCATCACTATAATCTTTAAACTAGTTTTAAATTGTTTAAAAGTTATCCAGAACTTTTTTTTTTACTATATGATGAAAAATCCAGCAACAAATTACACATGGCCGACAATACCGTCAATAATTGATTTCACGTAATCCTGATCTAAATTGAAATATACTTGTTGACTAACATGTTCATCTATATGTATAAACAATAAAGTATGCACGGGGCATCGACATCCAGCTGATTTGGTACAGTTTTCGATGTTTATAAGTTTGAAACTACGATTATTAAAATAACAATAACTGCTTATAAAATGTGACCTTATATCACAGCATTGTCCTACTTACTCGGTCATGGTATGGATGAAAGGGTCTTGAACTGATTCCACCGTTATTTAAAAAAAACGGAAAAGTAAGTCAAGGTGTAAAAGATATTGAAGCAGACAGCTGAATAAACAATACATTAATAAAATAGGTATTTCGTTTTTAACGGTACCTACCTACTATTTTGTGAGGAAAGGACTTAAAGGTATTATTAACAGGACATGAAATGCTCCTGTAGAAGTGCGAGTAAGAAAAACATGCATTTAGGACGGCAAGTAACAAGAGCCATAAACCAGTACCTCATGAACTTTATGGGGATCTCCTCCCCAAATATCTCTCCAGTGTATGAGGTGATGTAAATGGTTTCTGTAGTTATGATGGACTCGTTTTTTTCGCGAATCTGTAGGCGAAGGAGGCGCAGTCAAAGACTCCCTGCGTCCACTCGACATCGCAACCACAGAAGGTGGAAGCTGCGAGCTTAGCAGCCGTTCCGTCTCCGGGCCTTCGTCAGACGATATGCTATCCATGAGTAGGCGCGACGGCCTCGGTCCGTGGTCTCTTCCAAGACTACGAGAATCTTCTTTTTTCATTTTTAACGAGTTCAATGTTAACTACACAGTTAAATTACGAATCACTTTGAAATATACGCATGTGTTTCGAGTCAAATGATAACATTTCGCGTACCGATAAAAATACAATGAATTCGAGTGGAACAAGGCACAAGGGGCCGTGCGGCGCAAACGGCGCCAGCGGCGGACTGCCGCGCGACTATGGCGAATGCACGTGGACGACAAACCGTCAAAACAACTAGGTACTTATTGCTATAACAGCATTTATATTATCAAGAGGCTGGCGCAAATTAATATTAAGGCCACACTTTTCAATCTAGAGTAAGTGATGCCAAGTTATTCAATATTATGGGAGACTGTTATAAGAGATACCAAGTTATTATTTTTTCATTTACATAAATTTTGTAAGGATGTGTTTGTATCTATTTTTAGTTAAAGTATGTTCTTTAGTAGTATTATTTTGATTGCAAATTTTGTAAGGATACCAGGTGGATGACAGAGCCTCATAAAATTATTACTGTATAAAAATCATGAATTATATAATATATAAAATAGATTAAATAGAATTATATAATATATAATCAATTATATAAAATAGACTATAGTATAGCATATTAAACCAAGTGGATCCATCGCTATTGTACCTGAAAATCTTGTTACCCTGGGTCCAGAGCTACCATGGCAAGACAGGAAATACTTCCTATGACTAGAAGGTTATGAACCATTGGCATGACCAGTACAACAGAATCGCTGCTGGGTGGGAAGCAGTGAAAAAAAAGGAACTGGTAAAATTGTACATTTGCGTTGATATTCACTTTGATTAACAGTACCAATATTACAAAATACTTTGTGGTATCTTTGTGACTTTTTACTAATATTTTGTTTGTTATACCTATTAAGTAAAAAAAAAAAAAAACGTATTAAATTAAACCTGATGTAATGAAGAAGTTTTATGATGCCAAGTAAAGATAGGGTTTTTCTATCCTTACATAAAATTTATTAGACCAATATTATTTTGAAAAGATGTTGTCATTTTATACTTTAAACTATAAATAAGATTTCGTAATAGGTCTTGGTGTACGTATCGATTGAAAGTCTAACATGGAACATTGAAAAAATATAAATCTTTTAGTATTACGTTATGATGTGAAAACATATCTAAACCGTCGCCTAATTGACGTAAATTAAAGGATATTTAAGTATTTATTGAAAGGTCTAAATTAAATACTTATAATAACGGGCATTAGGTGGTTCGCAACTCGGCCGAAACGGTGTAAAAATCGCATCTAATACCCGTTATTATAAGTATTTAATAATGCAGCGCAGATAGTTTAAAAGACACAACATTTTTAAAATAGTCGCCAATATGACAACAAGAGAAAAATAATATATATAACTCAGAAAATATAAATATTGTAGTCAAAAATTTATCAAAATTTCGCCAGTTACAAAATTAGGAAATTGACTTACCTAGCTAGAAGAAACGGATGCAGAAATTATCGAATATATGCCTAACACTAATCGCATATTATTTAATAAAAAATATTTACAGAGATATTAAAATATGTAAGCAATATCTTTCAAGTAATTTAATTTATTGGAAACCAAACAAAGACATACACTTTTTAAACATTTCACAGACCTGTTAACATTGTGCTTGTAGACCACAAGAGCATTGAGCAAAGAGTACATTTATTAAATTGGAGGGAGCACATAATAAAAATAATAGTGAACTGTGTCTATATTATATCCTGAAACTTGTATTGTCTTATTGAATCGGTACAGAAATGAAGGAATATTGGATCGAATAGTGACATGTGATGAAAAGTCGATTCTTTATGATAACCGTAAAAGAAAAATGTAATGGCTGACCCCAGGTTAAACGCCACAACAGTGCCCTAAAGCAAAACTTACCAATAAAAAGGTAATGGTAACCGGTTGGTTATCTCAGTATGGTGTTATTTACTATAGTTTTCTTCAGCGTCAAGCAATAACGGCAGATGTCTATTGTGCCTAACTCCAAACAATGTCCGTAAAACTAGCAGTAAAACAGCCCCTAGTCATAAATCCTTTCACACAGTTTGTGCAGTCTAGATCCTCAGAGTTCTTTCGCAAAGGCATAAATGACCTTCCTATTGGATGGCAGCAATGTATAGATAATAATGGTAACTATTTTCATTAAATAAATTTGTTAAGAATTAAAAAATAAACAATTTTGATTTTCAGTACAAATCGGCAATTTCATACTTTAACCCCTATTATATGGTGTGTGTTACTTACGAATACCTATTATACGATACTAGATGGTGATGACTAGATGACCCGTTACTCATTAATCATTATCGAATAGTCTGTGGAATACGTACGGTTTGCTCATGGTTTGGTTTGCAACAGCTTTACGAAACTTCTAGGTACTACTATTTCTGCCAATTGAGTTAATAAAAATATTTGTAATCTACGTTACTCTATAATAATTAATTATCCATAATTGATGGAAATTGCTTATACATAAGTGAATATGGCTTTACCTCAGAAAAAATATTACCGGCAGCGCGCACATTCTAACCCTATAGCTGATCACTGTTTTGAATAGTAAGTCACGTAATATTCTAGGTATATTATTAATATGGCTTTAAATTTGCATTTATTTCATACTAGTGGACGCCCGCGACTTCGTCCGCGTGGAAGTCGGTATCCCGTGGGAGTGAGAAGTTTTCCCAGTAAAAAGTACCCTATGTGTTATTCTGATGTATAACCTATATTGCTGTAAAGTTTTATCCAAATCCGTCCAGTAGTTTTTTCGTGAAAGAGTAACAAACATCCATACATCCATACTTACAAACTTTCGCCTTTATAATATTAATTAATAGGATCAAAATATGTATCCAAGAGGCTTCATGCTTGATTTCGGTATCTGGTTTTGATCATAATTTAATTTTGTTAGCCCTACACATCCAGAAGAATATGATTGGACTGCTTTATATCCAATTTTATATGAGAATGGAAAAAGGAAAGTGGAGTTTCTGGATGTTGGGTGTGGTTATGGAGGACTTTTAGGTATGATCTACTTCAATTTAGTACTGGTCTGTATTCAATTCATCAAATTAGTAAAAATTCTATTGAAAATGGCCTAACCATTTAATATTCTTTTTGTAGATGACAAAAAATAATAATTATTAATGTATTTGTAGTTACACTATCTCCAATGTTCCCTGAAAAGTTAATGCTGGGTTTAGAAATAAGAGTCAAAGTTTCAGATTATGTAAATGATCGTATTAAAGCATTAAGGATACAGCAACCAGACATGTACCAAAATATAGCAGTGTTGCGTACAAATGCAATGAAATATTTGCCAAATTTTTTTCATAAAGGGCAGGTTTGTTAACAACTTCATTCAGTCCATAATGACTTTGTAGTTTATCAAAATCAATTAGAAGAAAAAATAAAGGTTATTTTGTTTCTAGCTAAAGAAGATGTTCTTTTTATATCCTGATCCACATTTTAAAAAAGCCAAACACAAATGGAGGATAATAAATAAATGGCTGTTATCAGAATATGCTTATGTACTAGCAGTGGGTGTATGTGACTTTTTTAAATTATTATTTCTCATAGAACTAATTACTTTTTTTGTCATAATTAATATATTACTTATATTTTTAGGGTGTTGTATATACAATCACAGATGTTAAAGACTTACATGAATGGATGGTTTTACATTTTGATGAACATCCTCTATTTGAAAGAATTTGTGAAGAAGAATTGGTGAGATGTCTCATATTTATATCAATGGATTTTGAGTTTAACATGTATGTATTTAATTAATTATATTTCAGAAAGGTGATCCCATTGTAGAAAAGCTATATGAGAGTACAGAGGAGGGACAAAAAGTAACTAGAAATAATGGAGATAAATATTGTGCCATCTATAAAAGGATTTCTGATAAATGTAAAGACAATTAATTGATAAAGCAAGTTTATAATTCTTATATATTATAATAAGGCATTATATGGTGTGACCAATAAAGATGTATTCTTACATAAACAATTCAATTCTTATTTAATTAATTTTTTCTCCAATAAACTAACCCATCTACTCAATGAACGTGAAATACTTAGGTGTCGGCGCATATAAGTAGCCCCTGCAAGCATCCACTCTTTTCTATCTATCCACATTTTTTGTGATAATAAAGACAACATAAGCGCAGCCCATATTTCTGAACTATGTGGATACACATGTAATCCTTTTTTAGCTATTATGAATGCTTTATCTTTGTCACCAGCTATATGCTCAGCAATACTGGCAGTGGAAATTATTTTAGCAGAATCAAATTTCTGACTATTATGGTTATCAGAACACATGGCCCTTTGGGCACAACGACTAGCAATTTTTGCTCTAGCTGTTGTCTTAAGACAATATTCAGCCATACAGAACCAAAGATTTGCATTGTTAGGATGATCATGAAGAGAGTCACTCAACAATTTAACTGCTTGCTCTACATTTCCTTCAAATATACACAAATAAGACTTTAAAAATCCGATATCAAAACCATAACTAAAATCAGTTTCATATTTTTTCAACTCTTCCAGTGCAAGTTTAGTCAAACTTTGGTCTGAATGTATTAAACCTAAAGAGCAAATCCCGAACAAGCTGTAAGCTGTTGGTTTTTTCTGAGACAATTGTATACTGTGGAATAAGATAGTTTTGGCATCATCAGCTCCTTTAAACATATACATAATACCAGCCATGGCAACTAGTAGATCAGCTTTTTCATTATCATTATTGCTCAACCAATGTAGAGCAGTATCATATACTGAATAAGATTCTTCATACAGACCCTTTTTAAACAATGCTAGTGCTAATCCACATGTAGAATTTAAGCTTGCTTCTGTAATAGCTTTGTATACTTTTATGGCATCTTCATATTTCTCCATTCTTAGTAAAATCCGTCCTATATTTAATAAAATCATATTCTTTTTATCATCTCCAGCATACTTTAAGGCATTCTCATATGATTTTAATGCTACTCTAAGCAGACCACTTCGTTCTAGTAAAATACCCAGAATATTACAGGCGCATGCATTACTTGGTTCAAAATTACAATACCATTCCATCAAATCAATAGCATAATTGATAGCATATAAACCTTCTATGATATATTTGTACTCAGGGTCTTCATTATGTTTACAATCCTTTAATGTTCGGCATACCCAATCTGCATAGCCAAGTGCACTTTCAGGATGATAACCCAAACGTGAAGCATGCCTGAATAGATCCATAGCCTCTTCTTCACGAATTGATTCAGCTATCAAAGCTTGACCAATCCAACTTTGAGGATGTGATGGCAGTGTAGACTGTCCTCGCCAGAAACAATAATTAGCAAGTTTAAAAAGTTTTAATTTTAAGTACAAAGTACCTAAGTTACACCAAATTTTTGCCACAGCCCATTTCCTTGTAACTGATAATGCTTTAATAAAACAGTGTTGTGCAAAGTTAAACTTTTTTATAAATAAACAGATTTTACCAAGTAAATTCCAGTTACGCCATGAATTAGGGTTATCCTTTATACAGACAATTACCAAATTAAAGGAAATATGACAGTTAGTTATGTTATTAGACTCATGATAATAATCAAGATAAGCGGATGCTAAATCATAAGATGCTAATAGTTGTTTTTGTTTGGCAATATGTGAATAGCAAGAAATTGCTTGGGGAAATATATCTAGTTTTTCTTTTCTTGAAATTTCGCTATTTTCAGGTGGTGAGTTTTTCATGTTAACATAAGCAAACTTGTTTGGTAGTTTTGTTATAAATATTAAAGTGTCACCAAGTAATTTCCATAAACAGATTTTTTTCTTTTCTTTTGAGATTGCTTCTATAATGTAATCTATAGCATATTGAGCACAATCTCTAGCAGTTCCATATAGCTTCGCTGATACTTTTTTCATTGCAATCTTAATCCATGTTTCAGCTATTCCTTTTAAAGCTAATAAGGATAATGGATCAATAAGTAACACTTTTTTGAATGTGGTTATGGCATCTTCATATTGTGTTAATAAAGAATAAATATAACCAATTCTAGTAAGGCAGTGCAAATTTTTGTTTGGATCCATGAGAATCACCTTATTATAGGCTCTTAATGCAGATATATAGGAACCACGTGAATAATATGCATCAGCTAGGCACTCAAAGGCAGTTATATTATTATGGTCGCATTTAATTACATTTCGGAAATTGATGATAGCAGTTTCCCACTCTCTTCTATTAAGACAATGTAACCCTAACCTAAAATATATCCAAGACTCCTTTGATGGAAGGTTTTTCTCAGCAGATACAAGTAACTCAAAATCAATATTTTTGAGCTTTAAGTGACTATATGTTACACTCAATCTGTTTACAATGTTTGGGTCATAATTGCATAAGTTGTAAGCTTTTTCATAACATTTTCTTGCTTTTTCATAGCAATTTTTCATAAAATAATAGTTTCCAAGGTAAAAGAAGGTAGCTCCATGTTCAGGGTCATGTTTGGCAGCTTTTAAGAAATTTATTAATGATTTTTCATATTCTTTTAGTTCCCAGAATGCCCTTCCTAAATAAAAATATTTTAGTGAAGAATCAACAACGTTTTCTAGCAATGAAATGGTTTCTCTACATTTATTTTGTTTCAAAAGCAAGAGAGCTTGAAGCATTGGATAATGTTCGGTGTTAAACAAGTTCTTTAGTAAGTCATCTGGGTTTTCATTGTTTTCTATGTAGCACTCAGCTAATGCAGCTTGCTCAACAGTACTTAATATATTCTTATGAATATCTTTGGCGACAGAAATTGCTTGTTTCCACTTTTGTTGTTTTGCAAGTGACATAAATAAAAATTTCTGGAGATCATTGGCAAACTGTAGATCTTTGACTTTAGTCAAAAAATTTGTTGCTAGTTTTTGTGTAACTGTCCATTTCTGCAACATCATGGTGCACTTAATGATTAAAGTAGCTTCTGTGACATCTACCTGATGGTAATTAACTAATGGGACACATTGTTTATATGCATCTATGAAATTACCCTTGTCAAATGCTATCATACTTTTTATTAAAGCTGCATATTTTGAGTTTTCTATTTCAAATGTAATTTTTTCAATATATTTTTCAATATCAAAATTACAAAAGGACATATTCTTAATATATTCTTTACACAAATGACAGCATAGCCATTCTCTCAATAGGATATTTGTAGAGAAATATTTAAGATTAATAATTTCTTCAACAGCTGATGCAAAGTCAGTTTTCTGAGCAATTACTTTTGCTATAAGAACTTGTAACATTTCACCATCATTTTGGGACATTTCATTGAGAATACAAATAACTGGATCAACATCTTCCCGTCTACATGGAACATCAGCTCTTAATAGATCAAATATTTGATTTTTAGCCAACTCTCTCACTTTGTCAGTTTTGTTCTCTGATATATAACTGATGAGTGAATGTATACATTCTGTATCTTTCAAAGTACAACCTAACTGGCCAAATTTATGCAGGATTTCTAATGCTTTATCATCCTCTATTTGTAATTTTAACATTTCTTTGTATGTAAATAACAACTTAGATTTAGCAGAATCATCTTCTTTCCTTTCGTAATAATTGGCCAATCCTTGCCAAGCTAACAGTTGGTCTGGTTTAGCAGCAATTGCCTTTTGAAAAGCCAGAGGAGCTTGATCGCTATCTTGCAGGGACTTACCTAGTAAGATCAATGCAAAATAATTTTGTTTATCCTTTCGTAAAATGTTTTTACAACATTCAGTTGCCTCCTTGAAATTCTTTTCATCAATCAGTTTTCTGGCTTCTTTGAGGAGCGTTTTTACATCGGACATCTGCAATTAAACCAAACGTCAAAGAAGCAAAAAATTTACAGAAGATACATAGGTACAAAACGGCTAGACAGTTAATAGATATTAAAGGAAAAGTGCTTACTTTCAGTTAAATTCAAATCAACGAAAAGAACATCCAATCAATACAATGTCGCAAATTTATAATCATATAGAACTTATGTAAAATTCCTATCGTTATAAGTTCAGTTTTATTTTCAACAGAACAAAAATCGTGCTTGTTTATAGCACAGACTTAGTAGGTATCAGACGACCAACTTCCTAACAAAAAATTTCTTCGTAGAACGTGATTGGGAGCCAGTGATACATGACAGCTACATTCGTTTTAAATATATAGTTCTACTATCGGCAAAGGCATTTAGCTATACAGCCCTGTTTTGGGTAGGTACCTAGCCGTCTTCCTAGTTTCCACATTATTTTTACTTTAAATTCCTTTTTCGTTCTAATACAACAATAATAATAAAGCAGACTGATAAGTCTAGCTTATTATTATTGTTGTATTAAAACAAAAAAGGAAAAACGAGCACATAAACGAAACACACATTTTTCCAATATTATTTATTGAATAATTTATTTTTTAACTTATTATATTTTTCACAGCTTTCTTCTGCATTCTCGGCAATTCTTAGCTACGTTTTTTAGTGGTACAACCTTATGAAACTTTTCAAGGTAATCACAGTTTTCTTATTTCTTAATGTTGTGCTGACGGGCCTGCCATCCACATAAGTTGCTGCAAATTAAAATATTCATATAATAATTGTATGAAACTTGATTCAAAACTATTAACTGTTAGTAAATTTCATCTAATACTCACAGAAATTTGCAGTGTAAGACAAAGCTGCAGACATATTTTTACACAATTTTTTACCTGCAAAAAAAGATATCATATTTAAAATTATCTTCATTAGAGAATCATTATTGTAATTTAAGTGTAAACTATATTAGCTACTTGTTACATAATTAAAAATACAGGTCATTGAATCAACACTTGCTCTGATAGAGAATAAGCTGAATACAAATTATTTCTTTTATTTATACTAATTTAAGTTATACTTATATAATAACCAATGCATTACCTTCATCTTTTTAATTTTATCAGGTATAACTCATTGGTCATTTAATTTATGATGTAGCCCAGCTTCAGTGTGTTGACAGTCTGTCTCATAGACATAAATAATATAATGCCATTTTGCAAGTTTACTATCCAATATTAAATTTTTTGTTAAAAAATTGTTCCTGATACATTTTATCAAGTGTGTAGAATCATAATGTTTAGATCCACCCCACAGATTTTAAGAATGCCAACTGAAACAAAAATTTAAGAACTTCTTAAAACATAGATAACAATATAAAAATAAGAACCTTCACTACTTTCATTAAATCTATTAGTTTTTTTTCATATAAATATAATTCTCTGTACCAACCTGTGATTTCAATTTAAAATTTGATCACACTAAGTGTCTTCTTTTAGATTTTTGAGTGCTGATTGAAAAGCTGAGCCTTGGTCATATATTATTGCAATGGGATTAAGGTCCAATTCAACAACTTTTTCTACTACTAATTTTAAAATATTCTTGATGTAGAGTAGATGTTGCTCCTTGACAGAAATACTAACATAAAGGCTGTTGCCACTTGTAAACAGCACCAACATAAATACAAGAGTATGATCTGCAAAATCCACTTTCTTTTCTTGGTGTTCTACAAATCCATTAATGTTATCTTTAATCCTTATTACTTTTATTATACGAAAGTGCTGTTTCTAATGACATCTCATCAAATATAATGGAGCATATTTTTTGGAGTTTCATTTGTCCACCTGAAAAAGTAAATTCAAATAGGTAGGTACATATTATTATTTGGTAGTAAAACAAAAAATTATAAAAGTAGTATGAAAAACCTTATATGGAATATATTTACCTCTTACATGAAGCCTGGTTCTATGATCAATTTTCTAATCATAGCATTCAGTGTAGTTTTGGATGATAAAATAAAAAAATTTGCTTAAAAATCAATAACACTTTGGACTCTGCTTTGATATTGATAAAGCAATTATCTTTTCTTTGGTAGTGAATCACCTCTCATGTTTATTTTTAGAGCACATGCTCACTCGCATTTCAATAACATTTTTTGCAACTGTGTTCATTTTTTGTCGGAACTTTTCAAATGATAACTTTTTACAAAACTTAAAGATATTTAAGTATTCTTAACTTTTTTATGAAAGTTCAACTACGTCTTTGGCTTGTTATATTCTTCATAAATTCTCTGGTATAAAGGTGACAATTGGCTTTATTTGGTAATAAGCCTTTTCCTTTTTGTTTGGGTACATTTCACAGGGTCTGTAACATCAAAAGAATTCAGTGAATTTCTCTATTAGAACTACTATTTGATTGAAATAAAGATACACTAAAGAAAGAGACAGGTCTTGTCAGATAATTTAGTTTGTGTCATATTTTAATCTCTAGAGCAAGCAACTAATTGAGTAAACTCAGTGGCTGCAGACACAGGAGTCTCAATTTGTTCTTTTAAAATTACACCACCTATGAAATCAATATTGATTATGTGTGTAAGATTAAAAAACAGGATATAATCTTAGATGATATTAGAAATATGTTATTTATATTATCAATTTATTCTCTGATCAAAATCACTTCTAGCATGCCCGCTAGAGTTAAGTAACTTAATGTAATTTTTCTTTATGTGTGTAAGAAAGAAAGATCTACTAGACTTTTTTAAAGCAAAAATCTATATTAAAATACACCAAAACTGCAGCATGAACTTTGTTATCTAAATAAAATAAATTAAAAACAAACCTCTGTTCAGTTCCACTTTCTAATATGTGTGGTCAACATGACTTTTTCTTGCATAGCTGTGTTCCCAAGTGAATATAATTTCTGTAATAAAAAAAAATCTAATGAAGAACAGCAGTATTCCAAAACACAACATAAAGTGAAGATACATATCATATTAATTACATTATCTAAAGGTAATAGCAGATTAAACCAGCCTTACCAGTATTGCTTGAAGAGGGTAGGCTGATTGAGAGCCTATCATCAATAAACACTGACGGATATGCATCACCCAAGAGTCATGATTTTCGAGTGATGAATCTTGGTACAATGTGTGTGCTACAAATGACACTTCTGCCTGGATTAAAATTTTCAGTATCACACACAGCACTAAGACATTGTAACCACTTGGAGAATCTTTTATCGTTCACTAGAATCTTATAAAGAATAGCGTCCTGTTCGTACTTTAACAATGCGTGTAACACAACCATAACACAACACACCAATTTCTTAGGCATCTTCTACAAATAAAAATACTTCGAAAAATGGAGAGTTTGTATTTCAAATAAAGCGAAGAGGGTAAGCACAAAAGAAACTTTACTCAATCACTTGTAATTCCCTGATATGTAGTTACATACTTTAGTCTTCTTCTTCTTTTATTAATGGCATATCTGCGCATTTAACACAATTTTGCCAATGTGAAATGAATAAATTAATTCCAACATGTAAAATGAATTAAAGACTAATTAAAACATTACTATCTTTACTCTTTGTTGTAATGACAGTTTCTGTCAGGTGTCATGTCTCCATCTACTGACAGGGGTGAGGGGTGTGAGGAAATGTCATACATCACTGGACCCCTACGCGATTGGTTTATTGTACGGAGTTGACGGGCCGTGATATGTAGCAAGCTATTTATACCTCTCTGCACAGATTATATAGTTTTGTGGCAGCACTGCAACAGTCTGTAAGGATGAAACGATACGAGTAAATAAATACAAGTACTTACTCGATACCTTTCTTTTTGATACCAAGTATTTTGGTATCGATACTTATTGATTTGTTTTCACTTCATTGTACAACACACTATAGATATATATAGAACAATACAAACACTAAAATTTACTGGACAATAGGCGGCCTTTAGAAGCGAGTAACGAGTAGTATCGTGAAGTAAGTATTTGTATCGGTACTTGGTCACTCACTCACTGAGGTCAGGAAAAAATCTCGCATTTTGACTGTTTATTTCTATGGTAAGAAGTCTGTCTCATGAAAAATTCCCACAGGCGCTGCTTTCTTGTCGAGTGACAATAAGTATGCATCGCTTTTTATATCTAGACCTGCTTTTCTTTCTTCTGGAAAAAGAGTATTACTTAAATCAGCTCTGAAAATCTATAACAATTATGACTATGCTGAGGTATTTTAAAACTATTCGATACCTAGTAGGTTTCAATACTTCATTTCCGATACGGTATCGAGTAAAAGTATCGATACCTTGGTGGTAACGTTACATCCTTAGCAGTCTGTTCACAAACAGTACTTTCTTTCTTATCGTGTAGTTTGTTTCTTCTATACATAGGACAACACCATACAAAAATATCGTGGTATTGAAATTCGTATCATTAGGTTGGTGAAATAAGAGTTAAGTTGCTCTACAGTTCACAATAAAGAAACAGTCGCTCTATTGGATTATATATGATGGGGGTCTTACAAGTACAAGTACACCAAATCACTTATTCCATTAATCTAATCAACAAGTATCTTATTATATCAGCATTGGTAAACTTACAGCAAAGTAATACTACCTATGGAATAATTACTTATGTATAAAGAAGGCCAATGAGAAAGTATTTTAAGAAAAAAAAGAAATCCTAAAAAGCACCTCACTAGATGGCGAATCTACCAAAAATTGATTTTTCAGGAAACGAAAAGACCAAAGATAGTCAGTTCCGTTCCTTTTAACTAATATTAAAAAACTGAAATTCGCAAAGTTCGATATCAATGCAAATTAAGTAGTCTAGTGCAAACTCATCCTCACTGGCAGCACTCATTGAAGAGCTTGACACATGAGCCAGCCATCTTTTCGCTCAACTATATTTCAGGGAACGTAACGACCTGACGCTTACGACACCACCGCAGAATTTTTAAGAGCGTGACTACTCTAGGTACTTAATAAGTAATAATTTAAATAAAACTGATTTCTAGAGTAGATGGAGTAGGAAGTCGATATATGACTGACAATGTTATTGTCAGAACCAAAAAAGCACATACCCATACACAATTAACATAACACTGGCACAACGTTCGACGTCGACATGCAAGTTCAG